CCAGTCTCAGGAGTGAGGGGGACATCACTGCAGATCCTCCTGCGAACACCAGAAAGATTGGAAGAGGAGGTGACAACCTGCCTCCAGGACATGTGACCGCTCAGGTGGAATGGACTTGTTCCTCAAAACACACAGCATACCAGAACTGACACAGAGAAGAATTAAAAGTCTGAAAACTGGAGCAGCGATTAAGGAAACTAAATCCGAAGTTTAAAAGCTCCAGGTGGAAACTTCCAGTTACAAGAGGAATGAGTACTCGGGATGTAATGTTCAACGCGGTGAATATAATTAACCCTGGCCTGTGTGGCCAGAATGAGGCCAAGGGAGGCTCAGCCCACAGGGAGGCCCGGCTCGAGGTTGAGTGGACCCTGCCTCCAGGTGAGGCTGCAGAGGCCGGACCCTCAGAGTAGCAATGGGACACCTGCCGCCCAGCATGTGAAGGGAGGGCTGGAGGCTGAGAGATGGGAGCGGCCCCTCGGCCCCCACTCCCGGATCGGCACAACAAGGCCACGCAGTCCTAGAACCAGCCGGGGGCAAACGCTCCACCGGCCTCCCCCAGAAGGACCCCAGTCAAGCCTTACTTCTCGTGTATAATGATTGTCACTTTCACACATTTACACCCTTTCAGTTAATTGAGCTCCAATAGTAGCCTCGATGATGTCTCCACCCAGAGGAGTTTTTTTTAACTGTTTGGATCCTGTGGTCACAGGACATGAGTATACACTGAATATATTTTGTTACAGACAAGTATGGCAGGGTAACGACACCACCTTGCAGAGCATTAAAATGTAATTAGGATAAAATTCGGTGGCAAGAGTGCAGTGGAAATAGGAGTTCAAAGTAACATGGAACGTGAGGTTTCCAAAGGTGGACACACCAAACACCCGTCCTTTTTTTAACGAATGACGGCAGAAATCGGTTCACCGTGGTGTGTGGTCGCCCGTGTTTGTGTTTAAAGAGTAATTTCTCAGTTTTATTTTTTAAATGCCAATAAATATTTAACAAAGTAAGCCAGCAATTACTTCTTTTGCAACTGTTAAACTTGTGATTAAAATTTTCACTGTCTACTTAAAATGTGCGCAGGGGTGTGGGATATTTTCCAAGTTTATTAAAATTCATTTATGGGAGGTGCTGGAGAGGATGTGGAGAAAAGAGAACCCTCCTACACTGTTAGTGGGAATGTAGTTTGGTGCAGCCACTGTGGAGAACAGTATGGAGATTCCTTGAAAAACTGAAAACAGAGTTACCCTATGATCCGGCAGTCCCACTCCTGGGCATGAACCTGGAAAAGACAAAAACTCTAATTGGAAAAGACACGTGGAGCCCAATGCTCACAGCAATCCTGCTTGCAACAGCCAAGACGTGGAAACAGCCTGAATGTCTACGGACAGATGACTGGAAAAAGATGTGGCGTGTATACAATGTAATATCCTTCAGCCATTAAAAAGAATGGAATAATGCCATTTACAGCAACATGGATGGCCCTGGAGAATGCCACACTAAGTGAAGTAAGCCAGAAAGAGAGAAATACCGTATGATATCACTTCTATGTGGAATCTAAAAAAGGACACAGATGAACTTATCTGCAGAACAGAAGTAGACTCACAGACACAGGAAACAAACTTACGGTTACCAGAGAAGGGAAGGTGGGGGAGGGATAAACTAGGAGTTCAGGATTTGCAGGTCCTAACTACTGTATATAAAACATGAACAACGAGGCCCTGCTGTGCAGCCCAGGGAACGACATGCAACACCTTGTCGTAGCCTCTAGCAGAGAAGAATCTAACAAACGACACACACGCGTGCATGACTGAACCACCATGCTGTGCCTCTGAAACTAACACAGCATTGTAAATCGACTAGACTTCAATTTTTTAAAAAAAAGTAATTAATGGGGTAGAAGGCAAAACCTGTGACAACTCCTGTCATCATCCTGGGTGTCCCTGTGTGTCGGGTGCCTGTCTGCACCCAGAGGCCACCTTGCCGGGGCCCCAGGCTGAGCCTGCCCTTGCCGGTCACTTCCAGGTGCTTCAAGCTGACGTGCCGAGCCGTGGGTGTCCACCCGCCCCTGGAGCTGTCCCACTACCAGATCAGGTTCACAGCCACCTCCTTGTACGACACGTCCGTGGCCACCCTGTACGTCATCAACTCCCACCTGAGCATGAACTCGCTGACCCACGCTGTGCCCCGCGTCGGCTCGGGGGCGCCTCCCCAGTGGGGCCCACGTCTTTCGAGTTCCTGCTGCCCCCGGACTTGCCCATCACCATCTCACCCTCAGTGGGGACCGTGCTCCCAGGAAAGGTGGGTATGGGCCCCGTGGGTGGGCTGGGGGTGGGGCCGCCTGGGGCGCTGGGCTCTGCTCGCCCTGGACCACAGCGATCCCACCCAGACGGGCGTGGAAATCAACCGTGATGCTCATCAGACCCAAGCAGGGCCACAGGGCCCTCTGCCCAGCCCAGCCTGGCCCCGAGGCAGGGCACCCATGGGCAGCTGACCCCACAGGTACCTGGCTGGGCGCTGGGGCAGTTTAGACCGAAGGAGTGCTCGGCCCTCGATCTCACAGCCGGCAGCACAGAGGCCACAGCGCCTGGTCACCGGGAGTACAGGGTGTCTGTCCACTGCTTGATCGGGGAACGGTTTCCTCGCCTCTGCCTTTCCTGATGAAGCAGAAAGAGCCAGGCCTGGAGGAGAGACGCTCAGCCCGTCCCCAACGGTCAGAGCCTCTGGGAGCTTACTTCCTCAGGGTCAGGCCGCTGTGAGGCCTGCTCAGAGGACTTTCAATAAGTAAGACTACCTACACCGCGTTTTAGCAAACCAAGCAAATTCAGCTTCGGTGATGATCCCTGTCCCCAAGGGGGTCAGTGCAGCCGTCACCCAGCCCCGGCCTGTGCCGCGCGCTCGCTGCGCCCATCCTCTGTGGGGCCCGGGACAGCCCCGCGGGGTGGACTGCGCTTTGGAAAGGCTGCTGTGCCCGTCGCGGGGACAGCTGAGGGCACAGGACTCACCACCGAATCTCAGTGACTGAAAAGGCAGACTCCCTTCTCATTGGAGCCTCGGGGGCAGTGGGCCACGTCCTGGTGCACCAGGCTCCCCACCCCAGGGCTGGGCACCCTGCACGCCCGGCAGCTGCCCCCAACCCCTGGGGCCGTGGTCCGGAAGGGCCTTCCCGGAGGGCTCGTGCTGAGCTGGAACCCCAAAGAAGAGGCAGAGACATCACACCCGGAGTGTCAGCGTGACCTCGAGCGAACCAGGGGTAGAGGTCCCGGGGCACTGAGGCGGGAGGATGCCCTCTGCCCTGTGGGCCTCTCTCCTCACAGAGGTGCCTGGTCCAAGTGGCCTTCCGGCCCGAGCTGCCCAGCAAGCTGATCCACCAGGAGGCCTTCCAGGCACTGACCAAGGAGGCTGAGGTCAAATCGGTGCGTGGTGGAGATGGGGCCTTGGGGCCACAGGGGTGGGGTCTGCTCTCTGCACCAGGCCCTGGGCGAGGCTGCCACTTTGTGCACGAAGGCTTGGGGACAAACAACCCCCTGAGGCTGGAGGTTGTGCTTGTGAGTCGGCTCACCTGCCATGAGCCCTGGGCAGACCTTTCTGGAGCATTGGGTGTGTCCAGCTGTTTCAGGAGGTTAACGCTCTTTCCCAGTAAGGACCCCCCTCCTTCCTTGAAAGCATCACTGGGCAGGGTGGATCCCAGGCGGTGGTCCCAGGAGGGTGGGCCAGGCCCCTCTGCGCTGATTAGCAGGGGAGCTTGCGCTTACAAGGGACGGGGAGCAGGTAAAACACCGAGGGGCCCGAGGATCTTAGTGCTACAGCCCCTCCGGCTCCTGCCGGGAAAGACGCTGGGCAAGGAGCTGGGCAGTCACGGCGCAGGGCGACGCCCGCCAGCTGCTGCCCTGGGGATGCGGAGGGCCGCAGGGTGCTGCTCCAGTATCCGGGTGTTTGTCCCAAGCTGTTGCAGCACAGGAGGGAGGAGGAAGCACTTGGCCTCGGCCTGCTGGCCAGGCGGCGGAGCGGGCGGGGCACCAGGTACGAGGACCCTGGTTCTGGCCGGCTCCCACCCCTGCTCGGGCCTGGCTTCCCTGTTGGTGAGGCAGACACTGGAGTCGGGGTATAGGCCACAGGGGTCTCTGCACCTGCCACCAGTCTTCCCGAGGGAGCTGCTTGGGGTTTGGACCCCCGTCCCCCTAAACCTGAGCAAAGCCCCTGGGCAGACCCACTGCCAACCTCGCTCCCTCGCAGTCCGGGAAGGACACGGCCACCCAGAGGAAGGACCCACGGAGACAGTCTGTCTCCACGCTGTGGCTGCAGAACCAGGCCTCCACCTCCCAGCCCCCGGACCTGCAGAAGCAAGACATCAAGTCCAGGTGGGCCAGAGAGAAGGCCGCCCACCGCTTCCCGCCAAGTCCCTTGAATGGGGCCCTGCCCTGCCCCCCCCACCTGGAGCAGAGCTGTTTTGACTGGACGTCCAGGGCTGGGCTGGCTTCAGACACAGCTGGAGCCAGGCTCTGCCTTCCCGGGCATCTGCTCACCTCACTCCCAGGATACCGTGTCCCTGTGAACAGCCTCACCCCTGGGGCTGGGGAGACGCTGGGCCTCGGCGCCCATGCTGCCTGCCCTCCCCAGCTGCATAATGAGCTCTGGACAGCCTGCGGGGCGTGGGTCACTTGCCAGCCCTGGACCCTTGCCTGTGGCCCCAGGAACGCAGCTCTCTGCCTAGGGTCCTGGGGCGGGGTGGGCCCCAGAGGAACCAGGGATGGGGTAAAGGGGCCAGCTGGTCAGACACAACTGGGAGAGCCACGGCCTGGGCCCCAGCGTGGCCCCCAGGCTGCCGCCCTGCGCCCCTCTGGCCCAGCACTTGGGGAGCAGGAGTGACCTAAGGACCCCGCCCTGGAAGGTGGGGCGGGGGGAGCCTCTGGGGCTGCTAGAGACAGTGTTGGGGCCAGGCGTGAGTGCACCTTGCTGCCGCCACTCCAGTTCCCAGGAGCACCAGGCTGCGCGGGCCTCCCTGACCAGATCTTTCCAGGGGAAGTTCGACAAGTTTGTGGTCCCCTGTGTCATTGCCAGTGGCGACACCAAAGACAGGAAGGGGACAGAGCCCCTGAGCTTCAGGTGCGGTGCTCCGGGCAGGGTGGGGTTATGGTCACCCAGGAAGCCACTGTGCCTGCCGTGCTGCCAACCCAGGTCTGGGAGGGGGACGGCGCCTGGGGGGTGGGCAGGGCCAGTGTCGTGTCAGGCTGGGAGCTGGGGCATGTGGCCACCCACTCTGCCCTCAGCAACCGCCCGCCCCGCCCCCAGTCCCCACAACACCCTGTACCTGGAGCTGTGGTGTCCGGCAGTGGCGCCATCCATCGTGGTGACGTCCGACAGAGGCAGGACTGTCTCTAACTTCGGCGACGTTGCTGTAGGTGTGTCCTGACTGGGCTCAACCCTCACGCACCCCCCACCCGCAGGGATCCAGGCCCCCCCATCACTGCCTGGGCTCCCGTGCGACCCCCAGACCCGGTGCTGTGACCCCCATCCCATTGCAGGACACCACAGCATAAAGAAGGTCTCCATCCAAAACATCTCTGCCGAAGATCTTGACGTATCTTTGTTCACTCCTGGCCTGGGCTGCCTGCTGGGCTGGGGGAAGGGGGCTGGTGACGGGGGGCCCGGACTTGCCACCTGTCCTTAACCCTGGGCCTGCAGGTGAAGTGCTCTGTGCTGAACCCCAACGGCCCATTCGTCCTGATGAACCCCGTCAGCAAGCTGCCCTCGGGGGAGACCCATGTCCTGGAGCTGTCTTTCTCCCCCAACGAGAGTATCCTGGTGAGTCCCAGGCCCACCTGCAGCCACGCCACAGCCTGGGGCTCCCGGTCCTGCTCCCCGCACTGCACGCTGGCAAGGGCTCAGGCCCGTCGCTACGCCAGGCCCTGGAGCAGCTCATCCTCGGGACCCCCACTTCTTGCTGGAAGGAGGGCACCAGGGACCTCTGAGCTGCCTCAGCTCCGTTGTGCCCTGACCCAGCTGCTCCCAGGACGGAGCTCCCACAGTGCTCCATGCCGAGAGTCGGGGTCTCCACAGGCCCAGGAAACACTGGACATCATCACCAGACGAGGCAGCCTCTCCCTGACGCTCACGGGCACGGGCGTGGCATCCATGACCACGTGCTCCATTGAAGGGGACGTCCTCAACATGGGCTACGTGATTGCCAGAGAGTCTGTCTCCTCAGGCTTCAAGGTGAGGCACGTGGCAGGGGCCGGATGTCTGTCCCCGTCTCCCAGGAGGGGTCCACCCCAGTGGAGGTGCAGGCTGCCCCAACCCCCGCCCTCCAGCAGCTGCGACCCCTACGGCCCTCTCCAGCAAGGGAGGCTGAGGACGCCCCCTCCCTCCGCCCCGCTGCTGCCCTGGCCTCCTCAGTGCTCCCTGTCCTCCTGCCTCAGGGCCTTTGCTTGGGCCATCCGAGCCAGGAGGTGGAGGACCTCAGCTCAGGCACAGCTGGGGCGGGGGCAGGGGGTCGTTGCAGACTTCTCTGGTGAGGTCACACTGCCCTGTGGGCTCCCACAGCCATGCAGGAAGGCAGGCCTGGCTCTAGGTGCTCCTCCGGCATCTGAGGGCACACCAGCCTTGGGATCAAGCTGCCAGCAGGACACCTGCTTCCTGGCTTAGGCCAGTCCTGACAGCAGAGCCCAGGAGAGGGAGTCCGTGAAATGTTTTATTGGGGATGGATGCTCCCAGGGGGAAGGGTGAGGGCAGGGAAGAAACTGGGCAGGGCTGAAGTCTGACCTGAGCCTGACTGCAGAGGGCACTCCAGAGGACGGAGACACTATGGAGCTGTCCCCTCAAGGCAGCCGCCCTGCTGAACAGGCCAAGCAGGGGCCAACGCTCCGCACGTGCTGTGAGCACTGGCGTCAGAATTCGGGGGACAGGGCTGGCGGACACACTGCACGTGTGGTCCGGTGGCAGGAGAGGGAGCTTGGACCTGGCGGTGGTCAGGTGACAGGGCCCTGCTTCTGTAGCTGCAAAACAACTCCGCACTGCCCATCAAGTTCTCCGTGCAGCTGGACAGCCTCTCCCCCCGGACTGAAAACCAGCACCAGCTGCCCCAGTTCCTGGCCTCCAGGACCCAGAGGACAGAAGTCGTGGGTGAGCTGGCCACAGGGGTGGGACCACGCACTGCTGAGGAGGAGCAGGACGAGGTGGGGGTGCCTGGGAGACAGTCGGGGAGAGCTGGGCACTGCAGGGGAGCCAGGAACCCGCCAGGCTCACCCTGCCCACAGGCACGCAGAACCACAGTGGCCAGAGCGTGTTCAGCGTGGTCCCCATCGAGGGCATCATGGACCCTGGCAGGGAGCAGGACTTCACGGTGACCTTCAGCCCGGACCACGAGAGCCGGTACTTCTCTGACCGGCTGCAGATCGTGCTCGAAAAGGTGCAGCTCCAGCCCAGCCTGGACCCCTCCTCGCCGCCCCCACCGGCGCCTTGTGGTGGAGTGGGGCTGGGCCCTTCCCTGCGCCACCCCGTTAGAGGTCCGGTGCCGGGCTCGGGAGGGGCGCTCCACGCCAGATTGGGGTTTGTCACGTGGAGGCAGCAGTCTGGGGTCCCATGGGCCCGCACCCCAGCCCTGCCCTCTCCTGGAGCTCCACTCTCAGGGCTGCAGACCAAGGCTGCCCTGCTTCTGCCCCCAGAAAATCTCCCACCAGTTCTTCCTGAAGGGTGCGGCCCGGGAGCACATGATGTTCGTGGAGGGCGGAGACCCCCTGGACGTGCCTGTGGAGTCCCTGACCGTGATCCCCACCTCTGACCCCAAGCGCAGAGAGGGTGAGCCCTCTGAGGGGCTGGGGGTCCAGTGAGGGGTGGGGCAGCAGTAAGAGGACCCGCCCTGCTGTGTCCAAACCCCAGGAACCCTGTGGGTAGGGTGGGCTTTCCTGGCCCATCCCCCCCAGCCAGCGTGGGGAGGGGTCATGCTAAAAGGAGATTTCACGTGGACCAGCTCCACACACATTCCTCGCCTGACCCTCACCCGGTCAGCTCCCACACTCCCTGGGCTGCACCCCCTGCCCCTAGCCCCCAGCCAGGCCCTCCCTCTCCAGAAGCTGAGGAGCTGAAGCCCATCCTGGTCACCCTGGACTATGTCCAGTTGGAAGCTGACACGCCAGCCCCACCAGCCACCCGAGAACTTCAGGTGGGCTGCATCCGGACCACCCAGCTGTCCCCAAAAAAGGTGACCACAGCACTTCCCTAGCCTGCCGAGCACCACTGGCCGGGCACCCCGGGCCCTTCCCGGCCTTGCCCCTGGGTAGGTGTGGGTGGGCAGCCTGCTGGTCGGGGCTGAGAGGGCACATGGCTGGGCACCCTCGTCCCCCGCCCCACTGCCTCCTGGGAGCTGGGCCTGGCCCGCCCATCCGCCAGCAGCTCCGATGCCCTCAGATGGTCGAGTTCAGCCTGGACAGCATCGCGTCCCTGCAGCACAAGGGCTTCACCATCGAGCCCTCTAAGGGCTACGTGGAGCGTGGCCAGACCAAAACCATCAGCATCTCCTGGGTGCCGCCCACCGACTTTGATGTACGTGCCCTGGACAGTGGCCAGGGAGCCCCGGGAGAGCCAAAGGCTGGACAGGAGGACGGCCCCACCTCCCCCGGGGAGGGGGCTGCTGGGCGGCCCCGGTGGGGGTGAGGTGGGCAGTGAAGCGGCCGAAAAGCAGACCCACCTGGTGTGCCAGCTGACTGAGGGCCCCCTTCCTCCCTCCTCTCCCCTTCCAGCCGGACCACCCACTCATGGTGTCAGCCCTGCTGCAGCTCAGGGGGGATGTGAAGGAGACCTACAAGGTGGTCTTTGTAGCCCAGGTGGTGACTGGCACCTGAGGCCACAGGAGTCTCTCCATGTAGCCCCATCAGACCTTCCTGCCCACCCTCAAAGCCCGCCCCTGATGTGTAGACCTGGCCGAACCACCCAGGGGCCTGGGGCCTGGGCATTCCCTGCTGAGCAGCTTCAAATGGGCCGTCCTCTGCGTGACCTCGTGGCCAGGCAGGGCAGGCCCAGCTGCTTCCTGCTCCCCAGGATCCGGGGAGCCCAGGACCAAGAGCTCCCCCTCCCTGACCCCCACACCCAGAAGCAGCAACTAGGCCAGTCCTGACCACAACCTACTCCTAGCTTGAGCCTCCTGGAGCCCCCAGAGCCACCAGCACCCACAGACCTGTCAATAAATCCTCTGTGAGCCTCTGTGTCTAGGCCTGCAGTGTGGGCCACAGGCTGGGGGAAGCGCAGAACGAGAGGTGGGGACAGAGCCCTGGGAAGGCAGCCCTGTCTCCCACCCGACACACGAGTCAGTCCATAAAGCAGTGAACTCTGCCTGAAAGACCAGGAGGGGCTTCCTGGAGCACTGGTGGAAACTGCTGTCTGGGCAGGTGTGGGGGTGGTGGCTGGAGCTGAGACTGGTCCATATGTGGAGAGCCCTGGTGAGCAGGCAGAAGGGGACAGGAGGCTTCAAAGCCGAGGTGGCCCTTTAGCCTCCCTGCTCCTCCCAAGTTCCTTCCAGGATCCCTGATGACCCCAAGCAAGGAGTGAGCAAATGTCAGGGACACACCCTGGCTCGAGTCCTCCCTTATAGCCAGGCAGGGTCCACGGGGAGGCCCAGCCCATGAGACACTACTGGGAGCTCAGAATGGCGCCTGCACTGCGGCCCCTGCCTTCTGGGGAGTGGCAGGATAGACATTGTCTCACGGAGCCCACCCAGCCTGGCGCCCTGTGCACAGCCCTGCGTGCCCACCCCCACCCTGCCCCGAACCCGTGCCAGCCACCGGAGCACACGAAGCCTTCCCTGGCAGAAGCGGAAGACGTGCTTCTCTGGGGCCTTCCCTGGGTACCAGCCTGGAGCTGCCTGCCCCCACCTTGCTTCCTCTGCGCCTGGAAGTCTGCCGTCTCCCTGACCTGGAGCCAGTGTCAGTGGCCTGGGAATAGCATTTGCAGGACTTCTCTCTGGTGGGCAGACCCCCGTCCTTTCCTAGCCCTCACAAGGGCTGCTTTCCCACCAGATGAGAAGAGGAAGCAGGGTCCTGCAGCCCAGACCAGGCCCCAGAAGGAGGTCCTCTTCCCCTCTCTTCTAAACCCTGGCCTGGCGCTCCTGTCAGCAGGCCCTGGTCCTCACTGGGCAAGGCCCTGCCTGTACTCCTGCCCATCCTGCTCCCCGACTCCTAAGTTGGGCCTCTGGGCAAGAGGGAGGGGGAGGGATGGTCCAGAATCAAGGTCAGTCAGCCTGGCTGGAGCAGGGTGGGCAGAAGGGGCCCTGGGCCATGGCACAGCCCTCAGGAACAGGAACCTGGAAGATCCAGTCATGACAGAGCCACACGAAGTCAAGGGGCCGCCCCTTCCAGCAGGGCCATGCATGTGGAGCACGTCCTGAGTGCAACCAAGACAGGGCAGGATAGCTTCTCCTCCATCCTCCCTAGACAAGCAGACCACCCTGAACCCTGCCGTGCTGACCACCTCCCCTAGCCTGCCCACTGATGGAGGGGCGGAGGGCTGAGGGCAGCGAGCATCCGCAGCGAGCATGCACAGTAAGCGTCTTTGAACAGCGCCAGGCGCCCTAGCTTCCTGAGCGTGGTAACCCTTCACCTCCAGCACCGGGGTGTGTTTTAGGCGTGGCCACGTGTGTCCTGGCCGCCATCCTGCAAGGCCACACCCTGTGCAGACCCGGCCACAATTGTCCAGGGCGCGCCCCGGTCCACACAGAGGCTGACTGCAGGACGCCAAGGGCGAGATAGCCCCCAACCCGCCCAGGAGACGCGGGGGGAGAAGGCCTCCCGGGAGAGTCATAGGTCGGGTCCTGAGGGGCGGGGCCCTAGGGCCGGGAATCTGGGGCGTGTCCACGAGACTCGCCCTCGAAGGGCGGGGCCTGCGGGGCGGGGATCCTGGGCGGGGCTACAGCTCGAGTCCTCCAATGGACGCGGTGTAGGGGCGGGGCTCGTGCTGGGAGGGGCCTAGGGGAGGGGCCTCCATAAAGACACGGAGCCGTGGGACTCGCGCTCCTAGTCCGCGCGGAGTATGTCCGCTGGGGCGCCGGCCGCCCGCGGGCTCCTGCTGCTGTCGCCGCTCCTGTTGCTGCCGCAGGTGGGTCGCCAGGGGCTGGGCTCGGGCACCGCGGGGCGGGTCTGTGCTCGGCGCGCCCCGGCCCGGCTCACCCCTGTCCCCACAGGTGGCGCTGGGCTTCGCGGAAGGCAGCTGTGACCCTTCGGACCAGTAAGTGGGGCGGGGGGTAGGGAAACAGGGTCCTGGCCCCTCCCTGCGGGGGGGAGGCTCAGGTAGGGCGGTCGGCCGGGCCCTGCCCCCCCCCTCCGCCTCAGGTGCCACCATCCCCCCAGGTGCCCGCCGCAAGCCCGCTGGAGCAGCCTATGGCACGTGGGGTAAGTGGAGGCTGCGGCGTGCAGTCAGGTGCGACGGTTCTCCCCGGGCCAGGCCCACCAGACCCACACCCTGCCTGGCTCCACGGCTGAGGAGTCGCCAGCACTGTCCCCCTACTGGGGCGCTGGGGCCCTCAGCAGCCTCGCAGACAGACCCAGCCTCCTCCCCAGCACCAGGGGCGACCTCCCTTGTGGGTCCTGCCTGAGTCCTGCCCACCTCCGGACACCCCTTCATAACCTGCTTGCCCATCTCCCACCCCCTTCCTCCCCCCAACTGTGGGAGGCCTTGTGAACATGGTCGCTGGTCTGGGCACAGGACTGTGCAGTCCGCCCGGGACAGCGTGTCCTGGGAGTGAGCCCAGGGCCACTTACGGCCAGCCCCAGAGAGACAGCCCGTGCAGGCCCAGCGTCGGGGGCCAGGCCAGCTCTGGCCAAGGAGTCTCAGCCTGGAGAGACATGCCCTGGTTTTCTTTTATCCCGTCCACTGCTTTGTCTTGAGCGACCGGACCATGACTGCCCGCAAGGAGCAGGTGCCCGGTGGCTGGGGTCAGTCCAGAGGGAGGGTCTTGCTCCTCCCTGCCCAGGCTTATCCTGCTCACAGTCCTCCTCCTGCTGCTGTGTGGGGTCACGGCCAGCTGTGTTCGGTTCTGCTGCCTGCGGAAGCGGGCACACACCCACCCACACCTGCTGCCGGCACCTCAGCCCTGCGACCTGACAGCCATCCCTGTGGACAGTGACAGCCCTGTGCACAGCACTGTGACTTGTGAGTGCCTGAGCCCTCACCTGGTGGCCCACCTGCCTGCAGGGGCAGTAGGGAGCTGGGGAGGGCCAGACCCATCCCCATAAACCAACTCTGGTTCCCTGCAGCCTACAGCTCCGTGCAGTACCCACTGAGCATGCGGCTGCCCTTCGGGGAGCTGGACCTCGACTCCATGACCCCCCCCGCCTACAGCCTGTATGCCCCCGAGCTGCCACCCTCCTATGATGAAGCCGTCAAGATGGCTAAAACCAGACAGGAAGAGCGACCTCCTTTCCCGTAGCCCAGCTCCCTTCCCAGGGCCTCATGCCTAGAGACCCCTCCAGGGCCCCAGGAACTGGACCCTGATGCCCCACACCCCTGGTTGTAGCCATGGTGCCCCTGAGAGTGGGCAGGAAGGCTCTCCTGAGCCTCCCAATGCCACCGGCCACTCTGTACTTACAGTGGACTGTGCAAGGGTCCTCGGGCTGGGGGACTGCAGCCCACCCCCACCATCCTTCCTCCAGGAAGGCCAGCCGTCCAGCACATTGCTGCAACCCTGGCCTCGTTGCTGTGTAACACAGGGCAGCCAAGCTGGCTGGCCCTGTGTTGGCCACACACACGCGCGCACACACACACACACAGGCTGCTTCATTCAGCCCTGGCCCCCAGCCCAGCCCCAGCAGGCTCTCAGCCCAGAGGAGGCCCCACAGGCCTGAGCCTAGGGGCTCAGGGCCTGCTGTGATGTCTGCAGCTTTTTGGAGAGAATAAAGTTTGTATCAAAGTGGCCTCTGCATGGAGGAAAGGTCTCTGGGAGGGGCCCTTGGTCAGCTGCCTCCTGGTGCAGGCAGGCAGGGTCAGTGCCTGGTCCTTGACCTACGCCCAGCCTGGCCTTCAGGCTGGTGTCTGGAGCCCAGAACTGGGCAGTGGGCAGTATCAGGTGTCCCACAGACGTGACCGGCCAAGTGTGATGTCTGGCTCAGGAAACCCCTTTCCCTTCTCCAGACCCACATCTTTGTAGCCCCTTCTTCCCAGGCTGGAGACAGTGAAGCGTACAGGAGTCTGGCAGGAGCGTTTATTGGCCCCCCAGGCAGAGCTGGAGTGGATGGCAGGGTGGGCAGCAGGGGGTGGTAGCGGGCAGCAGCCTTCCTCCAGCAGGCCTCCCTCAGCTGCAGCAGCTGCCCCGACTGGACCGGCTTGAAGGACTCCCCAGTCGTCATGGCCACGAACTCTGAGAGCAGATGTTAGGTCAGCATCCCAGCCGGCCAGCCAGCAGGCTCCCAGGGCCCATCCCTGCTCACCCTCGCGGTCGATGGTCCCATCCCCATCCTTGTCGGCCTGCACCTCATTGAGGGTCTCACCTGTGTTCATGAGCACGTACCTGCGGGCCCCTGCACTGAGTGGCAGCGGGCCCGGCGCTGGCCTCGCCCGCCCAGCTGCCCGGCCACCAGCCCTACTTGAGCATGTCCCAGTCGGTGTGGCTCTTGCCCTCCTTGTCGAAGGCTGGGAAAGCCACCCTCAGCTCGCCCTCTTGGTTCTGCACCTTCTCCCAGGGCCGGGAAGCTGTCAAAGCTGAAGAACCCTTTCTCTGCAAGGAGGCAAGCAGCAGACGGGGCGAGTGAGGGTGGCACGGTGCCTCCCCGCTCGCACGCACTGCAGATCCCCACCAGGACTGCCCGGGCCAGCCTCACTGTCTCTGTCCACATCCTTGGCCATGGAGGCCAGCTCGCTCTTGGTGGGGCTGACGTCCAGCAGACTCATGAGCCGCTCCAGCTGGTCCATCCTCACTGCCCCGTTGCTCTCCTCATCGAACATCTTAAAGACCCTCTCGTACTCTCTGACCTGCTCTGCCATCAGGTGCTCTGTCTGCAGAGACACACTGGATTCACCAGGGCTCCGTGCTCCTCAGGCCGGGAGAGGCCCTGGGACCTGTGGCACAAGGAACCCTGGGCCATCCGTCCACTTGGCCATCCTTCAGGGCCTGTTGTTAAAAGAGGAGTTTCCCAGCCCAGAGCAGGCTTCAGGCTACAGCCCTTGAGGGGACAGCTTAAGGGGAGGGGCCCACGAGTTGCAGGTGGGGTACAAAG